CCATTTCAAATGGGAGAAAATGGCCAAAACCAAAGAGCTACAGGCCCCATGCAAGTTTGAATTCCAATGGGGCAGTCATTAAATCTTAAAGCTCTGAGATGATCTCATTTGACTCCATGTCTCACATGTGGGCCATGCTGATGCAAGGGTTGGGCCCTCATGATTTTGGGAAGTTCCTTCATGGACTGGAATTGAGTGCCTGTGGCTTTTCCACACGCACAGTGCAAGCTCATGGTGGATCTGTCATTCTGGGGTCTGGATTATAGTGGCCTTCTCACAGCTCCCACAGGCAGCTTCAGTGGGGACTGTGTGTGTGAGGGCTCCAACCCCACATTTCCCTTCTGCATTGCCCTATCACAGGTTCTCCATGAGGGCTCTGCCCCTGTAGAAGACTTCTGACTGAACATTCAGGCATTTTTATACATCCTCTGAAATCTAGGCAGAGGTTCCTAGAGCTCAACTTTTGTCTTATATGCACTCGCATGCACAACACCACATGGAAGCCACCAAGGCTTGAGGATTGCCCTTTCTGAAGAAATAACCCAAGCTATACCTTGGCTCTTTTTAGCCACAGCTGGATCTGGAGCAGCTGGGATGCAGGGCACCAAGTCCCAAGGCTTCATAGAGTAATGGGGCCCTGGGCCTTGACCATGAAACCATTGTTTCCTCCTAGGGCTCCTGGCCTGTGATGGAAGGACCTGTCTCAGATCTTTGACATGACCTGAAGACATTTTCCCCATGGTCTTGGTTATTAACATTCAGCTTCTCTTTACTTTTGCAATTTTCTGCAGCGGCTTGAATTTCTTTCCAAAAAATGGGGTTTTATGTTCTACTTCAAGGTCAGGTTGCAAATTTTCCAAACTTTTATGTTCTGCTTCCATTTTAAACATAAGTTTCTCATCTCCATCTGAGACAACCTCAGCCTGGACTTTATCATCCATATCACTGTTAGTATTTTGGTCAAAAGCATTCAACAAGTCTCTAGGAAGTTCCAAACTTTCCCACATTTTTCTATCTTTTTCTGAGCCCTCTAAACTGTTTCAATCTCCGCCTATTACCCAGATCCAAAGTCACTTCCACATTTTCAATTATCTTTGTAGCAGTGCCCCAAACTCCCAGTATTAATTTTCTGTATTAGTCTGTTTTCACACTACTATGAAGATACTACCAGAGAATGGATAATTTATACAGAAAGGAGGTTTAACTTACAATTCTGCATGGTTTGAGAGGTCTAGGAAACCTACAATTACGGTAGAAGGTGAAGGATAAGCAAGTACCTTCTTGACTAGGCAGCAGGAGAGAGGGAGAGCAGAAAAAACCACCACTTATAAAACCATCAGACCTTTTGAGAACTCAATTACTATCAAAAATAGCATGGAGGAAAACTATCCCCATGTTCCAATCACCTCCCATCAAGTCCCTCCCTTGACACGTGGGGATTACAATTTGAGATAAGACTTGGGTGGGATAAGATTTTACACTGACGAATTCAATACAAGGCAGAGAATATAAACTTTTTTTTTTAGAATCTCTGAGGTTTCCTGTTTCTCGTTAATTATCCACCTTATTAAAATAATCTTTGTTTCAACATTGTTCAATTCTGAAATGCATACAAACTCACACGCAAACACACTCACTTGCTACATAACTTTCTTATGTGTAAGGTATACCTTTTAAAAAAAATGTTTAAACAGTGTCTTGCTCTGTCATCCAGGCTGGAGTGCAGTGGTGGCATCTTGGCTCACTGCAACCTCTGTATCCCAGGATCAAGCGATTCTCCTGCCTCAGCCTCCCTAGTATCTGGGAATATAGGCACGCACCACCACACCCAGCTAATTTTTTGTATTTTTAGTAGAGATGGGGTTTCGAGATTACAGGTCTGAGCCACTGTGCCTGGCTGATATATCTTTAGAGTAATATATTTGCATATGTAACTCTATGTAACTCTATGTAAATCAAAACTAAAAGTCTGGTTTTTTTTTTTTTTTTGTCAGCAGAGAGGCCACATGTACAAAAAATATATAAAACAAACTTTTAAAACTATTTAATCGAGACTCAGAAATGTATGGATATTAATTATACTCATGTAACTTTTATGATCATAAAATGACCCTGTGGTTAATAATTCAATTGCACATATTGAAATAATTAAAGCTATATAATGGGATTGTTTGTAATACAAAGGATAAATACATGCTCAAGGTGACAAATACCTCATTTACTCTGCTGTGATAATTAAATAATGTATGCCTGTGTTAACATACCTCATATATGCCATAAGTGTGTATGCCACACAATCTACCCACAAACATTTTTAAAAATCAAAATAAGGTAAATAAGAATACAAACTTGACCTATGAGAACAAAATTATTCAACTTATTTACAGTTTAAAACCACTGGAGGGCCAGGTGTGGTGGCTCATGCCTATAATCCCAGCACTTTAGGGCACCGAGGCGGGTGGATCACCTGAGGTCAGGAGTTCAAGACCAGCCTGGCCAACATGGTGAAACCTCATCTCTACTAAAAATACAAAAATTAGCCAGGTATGGTGGCGCATGCCTGTCGTCCCAGCTACTTAGCAGGCTGAGGCAGGAGAATCGCTTGGACTCAGGAGGTGGAGGTTGCACTGAGCGAAGATCATGCCACTGCACTCCAGCCTGGGCAACAGAGCAAGATTCCGTCTCAAACCAAACAAACAAAAAACACTGGCAAAAGAGAGATTACTAGAGATGTCACTCCCCTACATTAACAAATAGTATATTGTTCCCATCATTTACTTAGAACCTTAAGATGAGACACATTCATGTTTATGGCAAATTAACACTTCATTGAAAGCACAACAGTTTTAACACATTAAAAACAACTTTGTTTAATTAAAAATTAAGATCATACATAATCTTCAAACATTTTTTAAATTTATTGCATTTTATTACATAAAGGTACAATTGATAAACAATCTCTTATATCTCTGATGCAACAATTGATGAAATACTTAAACAATGGGAAGAATCAACACGAAATAATCTGAGACTTGAGTTACATTATTGTTTTTCAGAAAATCTAATTTTGTTTTACAGAAAAAGAAGCATAACCTCAAAGATAATTATAAATCTCCAAAAAAAATCTACTTTAAAAAAAATATATTTGGATCTCTTTTACACTCAACACTCTGATTTAGTGTAATGTCTGAAGTTTCAGTGCCTTTATTCTTTTTACTGTGAATCCTCAAATGTTTATGTAAACAATTTTTGATTAAACATATTTTCCCCATTTACTAGACCTGCAAAAAGAATTTAGTATAAACTGGTGTCTGCTTCACCAGTTTAACTGCTTCAGATTTTTCCTTTAATATAAAATGTGTACAATAAAATCTATAATGCAAGTAAAGGTACAACAATCCTCTTTATGTTTGTATGTCTTCAGAATAAATAGTTTTTACTTTAAAGGCCTACATTTTCTGAAGTCTTTTTACAGTAATCACATTTATTAATGCTTTGTTTTTTTGAGATGGAGTCTTGCTCTGTCACTCAGGCTGCAGTGTAGCAGCTCTATTTAGGTTCACTGCAACCTCCGCCTCCCAGGTTCAAGCAGTTCTCCTGCCTCAGTCTCTCGAGTAGCTGGGATTACAGGTGCATGCCACCATGCCTGGCTAATTTTTGTATTTTTAGTAAAAATGGGGCTTCACCATATTGGTCAGGCTGGTCTTGAACTCCTGACCTCATGATCCACCAATCTTGGCCTCCCAAAGTGCTGGAATTACAAGCATGAGCCAACACACCTGACCTATAATGCTTTTATTAAGTATAAACTTTGATACTAAGATGTGAGCTGATATTAATGACTTTTCACATTCTTTGTACAATTTTTCTCTAGTAGAAATGCTTTCCTGTGTCATATGAGAATTTGTTAAAAGTTTTGCCACATTCTTCATATTTGCAGGAGTTGTCTTCAGTATAAATTATCTTACTTACCATAACATATGACTACCATTTAAAGGCCTTGCCACATTGAACACATTTCTGGAGTTTCTCACCAGCATGATTTCTCTTTTTTAGAAAAGTTTGAGGTGTGGTTAAATGCTCTGTCACATTTTTTATGTATGTGGAGTTTCTCTCCAGTATAAAATTTTTAAATTAATTAGGATGGAGAACCAGTTAAAGGCTTTGCCACATTTTTTTCTACAATTGCAGTGGTTCTCTCCAGTATCAATTACCTTACATTTGTTCAGGTTTGAGGACTTTTTAATGACACTGCCATATTCCTTATTGTAGGGTTTCTCTTCAGTATTATCTTATGTATAATAAGGGTTCAACACTAGTTAAAAGCTTTACCACATTCTTTGCTTTTGTAGGGTTTCTCTCTAGAATGAATTATAAGATATTGTGTAAGGCCTGAGTGTGCTTAAAGGTTTTGTCACATTTTTTACCTTTCTAGGGTCTAATATAAATTCTCTTAGGCTTTGGGAGGCTGAGGCAGATGGATCACCTGAGGTCAGGAGTTCGAGACCAGGTTGGCCAACATGGCAAAACCCCGTCTCTACTAAAAATAAAAAATCAGCCAGTGTGGTGGTGGGCGCCTGTAATCCCAGATACTCAGGAGGCTGAGGCAGGAGAATCACTTGAACCCGGAGGGAAGAGTGTGCAGTGAGGTGAGATCATGCCACTGCACTCCAGCCTGGGTGACAAAGTGAGACTCCATCTCAAAAAAATTCTTTCTTCAATAAATTCTCTTAGGTTTATTAAGTTTAAGCATTAGTCAAAGGGTTTCTTACTTACTTACATTTATAAGATTTTCATCCAATATGAATTCTCATATGTTCAATTAAGGTTTGGAACTGGTTAAAGGCCTGACCACATTCTCTACGCTTGTAGTGTTTTTCAGTATAAATTATTTTATGTATTATAAGGCCTGAGGGCTGTCTCTTATACACATCTTAGTGCTTTTTTTTTAGTATAAATTATTTTATGTATTATAAGGCCTGAGGGTGGACTTTGTCACATTATTCACATTTGTGGGGTTTCTCTCCAGTGTGACGTATCCTATGTATAGCAAAACTTGAATGCCATGTAAAAGCTCTGCCACATTCTTCACATTTGTAGGGTTTCTCTCCAGTGTGAATTCTCTTATGCTTCTTAAGGGTTGAGGCGCAGTTAAAGGCTTTGCCACATTCTTCACATGTGTAGGGTCTCTCTCCAGTATGAATTCTCTTGTGGTCAGTGAGGGCTGAGGAAAAGCTAAAGGCTTTGCCACATTCTTCACATTTGTAGGGTCTCTCTCCAGTATGAATTCTCTTGTGGTTAGTAAGGGCTGAGGAGCACCTAAAGGCTTTGCCACATTCTTCACATGTGTAGGGTTTCTCTCCGGTATGAATTCTCTTATGTTGCATGAGGCTGGAGGAGCAGTTAAAGGCTTTGCCGCATTCTTCACATATGTAGGGTCTCTCTCTAGTATGAATTCTCTTGTGGTTAGTGAGGGCTGAGGAAAAGGTAAAGGCTTTGCCACATTCTTCACATTTGTAGGGTCTCTCTCCAGTATGAATTCTCTTGTGGTTAGTAAGTGCTGAGGAGCGCCTAAAGGCTTTGCCACATTCTTCACATGTGTAGGGTTTCCCTCCAGTATGAAATTGGGTATGTTTCTTAAGGGCTGAGGACCGGCTAAAGGCTTGGCCACATCCTTCACATGTGAAGGGTTTCTCTCCAGTATGAATTCTCTTATGTCTACTAAGGCTTGAGGACCAGCGAAAGGCTTTGCCACATTCCTGACATCTGTAGGGTTTCTCTCCAATATGAATTCTTTTATGTTTAGTACAGTATGAGGAGCAGTTAAAGGATTTGCCACATTCTTCACATTTGTAAGACTTCTCCCTAGTATGAATTACCTGATGTTGATTTAGGTGTGAAAGCATGCAAAATGATTTGCCACATTTTTTACATTTGAAATGATTCTTTCCAGTATGTCCTGTCTTATGCTTACTGGAATTTGAAAATTTACCAAAGACTTTGACATATTTATGAGTCTGAAATATTTTGTTTTGGGTAATTGACAAACATTGGTTAACATCATTATAACCTCCTTTGTGCACCTCACACTCACCCACACTTTTACAGCATTTTTTAAATTGTAAATTCTCATTTCCACATTTTTCATATGTTCTTGGTATTACTTTTTGGAGTGAATCTTTTATGCCCTGCTGTGGCTGAAGGTCTTGGGTGCAATGAGAACACATAACTGAAAGACATAAAAATCACAAATTACTCTACTTACTGGACTCAGATAAATATACTTTACAAATTGAATATATAAAATTATATATGGTACATTAGCAAAATGGCATATCAAAACATCACAGGCCATAATTCCTTCATAGATGTATAAATGTAACAGAATCATAGTAATCAAAATACCTTTGTTAGAAATTTAGAAAGTGTGTGCACCATGTGAGCACAATGTCAAGAGCTTTATAGATAGAAAAGTCTGCTACATTTACTCAACACAGCCCTTCCTCATCCCCAACAGAAGAACATGGTGTCTTTAATGACAGATTTAATTCTTTTGAGATAAAAAGTGAATGTTACAACAGCAGAAAGACTGCAGTACCATGGACAGACAATAGGTGTAGAAAGTAGTTACTGACCAGTAAGAGGAAATATGAAGAAGTCTTTCAACTGAAAAATAAGTACAAAATTGCAGACAAGACACATCCTAAGAACATGGTCGTGAGACTCCCAGAATCTTTGCCCAAGACAATTGGTTTCAGGCTATGCCAGGAAAGAGCCGTATTATAAAGATCGTGAAAGGTAGTTTTATGTTAGTGTCTAAATCTCAACCAAAGATTACAATGTATACAAAATATTTGGGCAACATGGTCTAATCAAAAAACTCAAAAATTGTGAAAAAGCAACTATAAAAATAAAGATATGTATTAATTTTTAAAATTTAAGATAATCCATATTATGCTCAATGAGAAAAATGGAAAACCAGACACCAAAATAAAATCAGAAAAATAAGAATATCAACAAAAAGTTTGGAATAATAAAAATAAACAATTGTGGAGGTAAAAAAGAATAACTGAAAAAATTTAAAAGTCGGAAAAAAAAGTAATATAAAAAAATGAAGAAGCTAAACAAACTAGGATATACACAAAAAGATCCATAACACATATTTAAGCAAAGTTTGAAAAGTCACAAACCATAAGATAATCTTGGGAGCTGCAAGATAAAAGTGAGGTATTATTTATAAGCATAGTCCTCCAAGACAACCAATGAATTTGTCAACAGAAACCTTGCGGGTCAGAAAAGAACTGTGTAAAATGGTCAAAGTGCTGAAAAAAATCTTCATGGTGAGAATAATATAACCAGCAAAAATGTAAATGTACTACAAAATAAACAATGAAGATATTCCAGAACAAACAAATGCTGGAGAAGCATATAAACACTACATGTGCCCTAAATAAAATGCTGAAAAGAGGTCTTTCCACTTAAAATAATATGATGAAAAAATATATAATCATATGAAAATACGTAACTTTCTGAAAAACATATGCATATACAAAAAAGTAAAATTCTGTGTCATTATTGTGATCGTGCAGAAAACACTGTTAGTATTTAAAATTTGAAATATATAAGCATAAAAACAATCATAAAATATACAAATATATAATTTGCAACATCAGTAAGAAGTATAGGGTAGATACAATGAGGACAAATTGTTCTATGCAACTGAAGTCATTTTTTTTTTTTACCAGATTAAAATACACTGTTATAACATTAAGAGGTTTTATAAAATCTCCAATGTAGCACAAAGAAAAAATATTTATAGACACACAAAAGAAAATGAGTCAATTACTAGCATGAGACAGATTGATATTATATAATGGTAAAATGAGTCAATTTGCTAGGAATCTATAACTATTATGTCTATCTATATATATGTGCATATATAACATCAGGGCTTCAAAATATGTCAAGCAAATATTGACAGAAATGAAGCAAGAAATAAAATAGCAACAAAAATTATAAACATTAATACCTCAATTTCAATAAAGAAAAAATTAAAATAATCAATTAAAAAAAACAGAAAACCTGAAGAACATTATATTGTGTATGAATTCATTTTGCATTGCTATAGAAAATAACCTCAGACTGGATAACTGATACAGAAAAAGATTTCTTTGGTTCACAATTCAGTAGACTGTACAAGAAGTATATACCAGCATCTGCTTCTGGTGAGGATATGAGGAAGCTTAAAATTATAGCGGAAGGCAAAAAAGAACCAAACATGTCACATGGTGAAAGATGATGCACGTGTGAGGTGGAGGAGCTAGGTTCCTTTAAACAACCAGCTCTCATGTGGATTAATAGAGTGAGAACTCTATGACTACCAAGGGGATTGTACCAAGTCATTCATGAGGGATTTGTCTCCATGATGCAAACAGCTCTCATTAGGCCCCACATTCAACAATGGAGATTATATTTCTACATGAGATTTGGAGGGCATCTACACCATATCACAAACCAAATAGGCTAAACAGACATGTACACAGAACGCTCCAATGAAAAGCAATTGGATACACAATATTCTTATTTGCACCTGGTGTATTCTGTCAGAACACATAAGACCTAGTAAATTTCAAAAGATCAGCTGGGGGCAGTGGCTCCAGGTGTAATCCCAGCACGTTGGGAGGCCAAGGTGGAAGGATCACTTGGGGCAAGAAGTTTGATACTAGCCCTGGGAACACAGTGAGACCCTGTTTCTACAAATAATTAAAAATTAGCTGGGCATGGTGGGGTATGTCTGTAGTGCCAGCCACTCAGGAGGCCAAGGTAAAAGGATTACTTGAGTCCAGGTGGTTCAGGCTACGATGAGCCAAGATTGTGCTACTGCACCACAGTCTGGGCAACAGAGTGAGAAACCCTGTGTCAAAAAAAACTTTAAGAAGAGCAAAATCATACAGTATATGTTTTCTAGCCAAAACTGAAAAAAACTAAAAAGAAAGAAGTAATACTGGCAAATCAAAAATGTATGGAAATAAACACACTCTTCACTGTATTCTTGCACAGGGTCAAATAATTTAATTTAATATTTTTGCTCAAGGGTCAACATATTTAAGTGACAACTTGTTAAGATGTCAATATGACCTGAAGTGGTGAACTAATTTAATATAATCTGTATCAAAATTCCAAAAATATATTTATTCCTGGAATATTGTTTAAAATTTTTAAATTTTATTATGAACTATATCTAGAGAAACACACATGAAAAACACAGAGGCAATATACTTCATAATTTCAAATCATAATAAAAAGCTGCAATAACAATAACTATGTGGTACTCACACAAAGACAGATAAAGACATGACAGAACAAAACAGGGAGCCCAGCAATTGAACTCTTCTGTGTATGACCAAATAATCTGCCTCAAGGTTGTCATGAGCAGACAATGGAGAAAATATAATCCCTTCAACAGATAATGTTGAAAACTGGATATCTACATTGAAACAATGAAGTTGGATGCTTTAATTGCATCATATACAAAAAATATTTTAAACAAAATACTTTAACTAAAAAAAAAATACAATGGAAAGACATGACATTGGTCTTGGCACCATTTTCTTAGATATGCCATTAAATGCTTGAGCAACAAAGAGAAGAACAGAAAAATTTAACTGGGCTAAACTTCAAAATTTCTGCAAATAAAACATTTAATAGAGTGACAGTATCACCCAAGAAATGGGTGACAATATTTGAAAATCACATGTAATAAGACTTAATATTGAGAATATATAAACAACTCCTAGAGCTAGACAAGAAAAATTAATTACTTGATTTAGAAATGGGTGACGTGGCTCATGCATGTAATCCCAGAACTTTGGGAGACTGAAGTGGGCAGAGCACCTGAGGTCAGGAATTTGAGACTAGCCTGACCAACATGTGAAACCCATCTTTACTAAAAATACAAAATTAGCTGTACATGGTGGCACATCCCTGATCCCAGCTACTCAGGAGGCCAAGGCAGGAGAATCATTTTAATCCAGGAGGCAGAGGTTGCCATGAGCCAAAATCATGCCATTGCACTCCAGCCTGGGCAACAAGAGTGAAACTCAATCTCAAAAAAAAAAAAAAAAAAAAATGGACAAATGATTAAGTTTTAATTAAAAAAGATATACAAATGAAAAGAAGCATTTGAAAAGTTGCACAAAATTGATAATTTATAGAAAAATGCAAAACAAAATCACAATACAAAACAAAACTACCTTATATCAATTAGGATGACCACTATAAATTTTTTAAAACACCAACTATGTTCATGATGTAAAGAAATTGAAACCTATGTAAGTTGTTGATGAGAAAAAAAGGTGCACCCATCATAAAAAAATCATGCTCTTCAAATAAATAAAAATGAAATTATCACATAATCCAGCAATACCATGTGTAAATCTATATCTAAAATATGCAGCACAGTAAAATGAAGACATAAGAGGTACCCCGCTTGCATATGCCCACATAGCAAGTATCATAACCCAGCCTCTAGATAAATAAATACATACAGATATAAAAATTTAAAAATTGTAAAAAAAACTTTAAGTTATATCTCAAGGCTATGGTAATAAAAACAGAATGGCATGTGCAGAAAAATGGACAACCACCAATGAAACAGAAACTACTGTTCTCACACATTTTAGACATGATGCAAAAAAAGAATTTTAAAAGTGGTTTAACATAGAGTTTCTCAAAAATATGCAGATATTAGTGTGTCCCCAAAAGTAATGGCGAAGCAGTCAGTTTGTGCAGTCCCTGATAAGCCATAAAGAAAACTTTGGCTCATACTGTAAACTTGAAGAAAGATTACTGAAGCGAAAGTAGAATCCTTAGAGAATTTAACAGCATGGGGCAGAAGGTGTGAGGCGGGAAATTAAAGAAAAATAAAATAAAAAAGAAAGAGAAATAAGCTTTCCTATATTAGACTGACTTGTCCCAGAGGCAGCAATAGGCACAGCCCAGACCCAGGAAAAGTCTTGATAATATTATCTAATGTGCTCTGGAGACTCGCCCAGTACTCTATCAACATTGGGAGAAGAAAATCAAATTTTCCTTTGTTTTATAGTATAAGTTTATAGATTCTTTTTTTTTTTTTGAGACGGAGTCTCGCTCTGTCGCCCAAGCTGGAGTGCAGTGGCCGGATCTCAGCTCACTGCAAGCTCCGCCGCCCGAGTTTACGCCATTCTCCTGCCTCAGCCTCCCAAGTAGCTAGGACTACAGGCGCCCGCCACCTTGCCCGGCTAGTTTTTTTTTTGTATTTTTTAGTAGAGTCGGGGTTTCACCGTGTTAGCCTGGATGGTCTTGATCTCCTGACCTCGTGATCTGCCCGTCTCGGCCTCCCAAAGTGCTGGGATTACAGGCTTGAGCCACCGCGCCCGCCCGTTTATAGATTCTTAGTCTCTGTAACTAGTAACTTCAAGTATTCTGTTTTACCTAAGAAGTACAGTGAAGGTCATGAGAAGCCTGAGCAGGCCTGAACCACAGCTGTCTAGGCACCATAGTGAAGGTTATGGGATAAGCCTGTGCCTAGGCAAACCTAGACAACGGACATCTGGGTTGCCTGGCAACAGTTATGCGCAATCCTGAGTTATGAAGCTGTTACAATTTGATTAACTGTCTTTGTCCTGCTTCTGTATCCCTGCTTTCACACCACTGTAAGCTTGCTTCAAGCTAGCCCACCCTCCTTGTGAAGTGTGTATAAAAGTCAAGTGCTGTCTTTGTTCCGGGCCCAGTCTTTGGATGTGAGTCTGCTCGGTCTGCACTCAATAAAAGATTCTCCTGTTTTAAACCCGAGGTGTCTTTCATCCTCCTAAATCTTGCAACAGGTGTCCCTGTGTGAGAGCAATAGAAAAAAATGACTCAGGCTTCCCAGAAACTCTTTCCATCGAAGCACAGCTCCCCAGACTACATTTTAAGGAATGGATGCTTTCTTAACTTGTGTACCTCTCATCTGTCTCATCTACTTAATTTGCTATCACCTACCTGGGTGTTTGGCTAACATCTCATTTTTCTTTATATTCCGGGGCTCTTTATTTTGCTCTAGATGGGTGATCAAGTCTGACTTAGAGACAGCAATACCTGTTTTATTCAGAAAAAAAGTAACATAAATCTGGCTGAATTCTTTAATTACCAAATTAGTCTTATGCTTAGTAAAGAGGATATAATAGAAAGTTCTAGAAAATTAACATTGATTCATAACAGAATTTTCTAAATATTTAGAAATTATTTTAAATTTATAGGTCCTTAATTTCACTACTCAGTAATACTGAATCAAAAATTGATGGTGGCAACTGAATTCTAAGGCATGGGCAATGCTATTTTATGCCATGAGACTTTTGGAATTGCCACTAACCTAGAGCAAAAGATACATAAGCTCGGGGAAGGGAAAAGTTTAGGTCAAGATAAAACATCCTGAAGAATTTGTTCTACACCAATGAATCCACAAGATTTTCTTAAAATCGGAGAGCTAAAATTCATTCATGCAAAGCAGAAATTACCAAAATCATCTTAGAAAAGAGAGAAAGGCAATATATTAGGAATGGTGTATTGAAGTTACCCTCACCCAGGGAGACCAGGTTTTTGTAGTTCTCTAACATCACATCTCTATACAAATTCTGCTGAGCACGATCCAGGCATTGCCATTCCCCCAGAGAGAACTCGATAGCCACATCTCTGAATGTCAACAGTCCCTGAAACAAAAAAAACCACAAACAACAAAACAAAACAAAACAAAAAACATGAACACACAAACACCCGGTGGCCATAGGCAGAGATTTTTATTTGATTCAAGTTTAAAAAGAGAGTAAAAAGAAGCGGTTCTCACTTAGTGACTAAAATTATTCAATAAGATAATTTTTAACACTGAAGTATTATCTAACTCTGAGAAAAGAGGATAGCATAAGATCCACAATACGATGGTGGATTTGATACTTTTCCGGACAATAAATTATAAAATTAAGGGCATCAATATGGACATGTCTCTCTTTTTTTTTCTTTTCTTCTTTTTTTTTGTTTTTTCTTTTATTTCAAACCGAGTCTCCCTCTGTTGCCCAAGCTGGAGTGCAGTGGTGTGATGTTGGCTCACTGCAACCTCCGCCTCCCGAGTTCCAGCAATTCGCCTGCCTCAGCCTCCCATGTAGCAGAGTCTACATGCATAAGCCACCATGCCTGTCTAATTTTTGTATTTTTAATAGAGATAGGATTTCTCCATGTTGGCCAGGCAGGCCTTGAACTCCTGACCTCAGGTGATCCACCCACTTTGGCCTCCCAAAGTGCTGGGATGGCATGCGTGAGCCACCTCACCCCCTCGAACATGTTTATTTTTGAGTGTTATATTTACATAATACAGAATAAGTTGTGTATATTTCTCAGAGCAGTCATGATGAGTTGGAAGGTACCTCTCAATTCTTAATATGTGCAATAAACTAAAGATCGTGTTGTGAGATTTTGTTTCAGACTATTTGAGATAAAGTCTGAATTTCTGAATTTTTAGCAAGCTCACCAATGTTTCTAGCCTAGTAAGAATAGTTTGTCAAACATCCACTAAGTGGCAGAGTCTCGGTTTTTCCCAGTTTCTCTCACCTGTAAATAAAGATAAGAGCCTTCAGTTTTAAAAGACAAATATATAAAAAGACATCTAAACAGAAAGGACAGCTTCCAGATTAAATGTGATGGTTTATGCACTTCAGCTAGTAAATCTCCTAAGTGTACTTAATAATTAAAAGAATAATAACTAACTCTATAGTGGAAAAAATATCATAGAGATCTTGAACCAAGTGAATAAAACTGTTATCAACTGTACCGGGACACATTTTTATTATGTGCTGATGCACACAGGACACAACATCACTGCTGTGGTATTTCTCTCCTCTCAGAAAAGTAAATTGTAATCTAAATTCAATTATATATAAATTTTGTTTATTTATTTATGTATTTATTGAGACAGAGTCTCACTCTGTTGCACAGGCTAGAGTGCAGGGGTGCAATCTCAGCTCACTGCAACCTCTGCCTCCTGAATTCAAGAAATTCTCCTGCCTCAACCTCCCAAGTAGCTGAAAATACAGGTGCATGCCACCACGCCTGGCTAATTTTTGTATTTTTTTTTTTTTAGTAGAGACAGGCTTTCACCATGTTGGCCAGGCTGGCCTCGAACTCCTGACCTCACGTGATGTGCCTGCCTCGGCCTCCCAAAGTGCTGGGATTGCAAGCCTGAGCCACCGCGCCTGGCTTAAATTTAATTATAAAGAAACATCAGTTTTATGCAAAGTTGAAGGTGCAGATAACTTCCCTGTTCTGTAATTTTTAATAGTAATTTCAAGTAGTCTTTCCTTAGCACCCTGGAGAGCAAGTATCTCCTAATAGTTTTTTCAGAACTTTCTGGGTAATAAATGCTATCCTGTATAAATGAGCATTTTCTAAACCTCAACATGACATGTTTCATTTTTCACTAATATCCAAAGATAACTGTGTTTCCCCAAGAGAAATATTGAGTATTTACACCTTCTCATGTTCAACAGCTACAATGGGAACATTTTAAGTATTGCAGGTCATATATTTGTGGTGAGAATTCTGCATGGCATACAAGAACCCAAGATGAAGAGAATGTATAGAACGCTATGGTAAACAGAAAAAAAATATTTTTTTCAGAACCCCTTGACTATCATAAAAATAACAAAATATAGTTGAAACAAACTCAATAGGGATCAACAGCACAAGTAGAGAAGTAAAAATTTGCAAGTTCTGAACACAAGGCATTCCAAAAGGCAGAGTGGACACAACGCTTGATCTGAGACATGCTCACCCGAGAAAAACTCATTTTTTTTCTCTTCTTCTTCTTTCTCTGAAATGTATTTTCAGATACGATGCTCTGGACATATCAAACCTGCATCTTGAGAATATGCCTTTAAAGGACAACCTACTCACCTGCTACCACCACACACACCCACGGGCAGAAAGACAGAGGCTTGCAGAAAACTTTCACCCACTTTTGTTGTTTATAACTGAAAAGATTTAACAGCAATGAGAGAACAACGAGCTTCTCCATAACTATTAAAATATAAGTTTCTTTTTCCCTGCCCTCCCCTATCAGACACCAGCAATTTTCTTTACAGTAACGGGAGCATGAACCGCACTGACCTCTTCCTACTAAACTGCAGTGCAGTTTTCTTTGCGGTGCAGCCTTTCTTTGACGCAAAGGTTGAACTAAACTCTCCTGAATGTATCCTGAACCCCCCAAGTTTATAAATCAGTTGGTAATCTCGGCCCTGTTTATGCAATGTGATTCTGCAGGATCCAAAAGGGTCCAGGAATGGGCTTTTCCAACAAATCCCCAGTAAATGCTGATTGCGCTTTCCCAGACACATTATTAGCATTAGCAAGAGAAAGCAGGCACGGCAAAGAATCCCTTACACACACCACGTTTGTCCCAATACAAATACTTCTGGTACAAATAAAGACAACCAATTTCCACCCTGAAATACTATATTTTTGTTGGCTTTTTAAAGTTTACAGGGACAACAGAAGACAGTATTGTCTGAGTAAATCTGTACTTGGGAAACCTGTACGCATGTACTAATACAATGTTTATTAAGTAGGTACTATGTGCTCAGCAGCATGTCACAGAACACTGTGCTGGGAATAACATACTTTGTGATTTAATTTTCATAGCACCCTGGGAGTTGGTACTAAG